ATGGAATCTAAAATGAGCTGAAATGCCACTTAGGCCAGTAAAGGCTGAAATAGGATTTGATCCAGAGTCAAAGGAGAGAGGGGTACTTGTGAATGAGTGGAGGGTGCCCCCTCCTTCCTCCAGGGTTGATTCAGAAAGTATTGACACTGAGTGGGGACCTGCCTACAGCTTAGCCAATAGGAAAAGAAACACAGAAGGTTGTTTCTGAACTCTTGCCACTCCTTCCACTTTAGGCATGTGACTTAGGGCTGCACACTACATGTGCACCAGTGTGAACAGGGGGTTTAAAATTAGAGTATCTTTTGGGAGCTGCTCTAGTTAAAATGCCTGCAGCGTCTCGTGCATTCAGCATCCCAAGTTTCAAAATGGCAGCAAGGGTGCTTTAACTAAAACTCATTTGATGAGCTTTAAAGTGCCCCCCACAACCATTTTGAAATGTGGGGATGCTGCATACATGAGATAATGCAGCATGTTGGAGCATTTTGATTAGAGTCTGCACCAATGTGTTCTAAGCAGAACACATCGGAGCATGTGTAAAAGTGCCCCAGATGTGTGGTGGGGTGAACTATATTCTCATCCCTGTTTTCATCACTATTTATGTATTTTACACTAGACAGTCACTTTTGCTAGGGACAAAAATTACACATAAACTGGTATAAGTGATCGGAAACCAGTTCAAATATGTAATACAGCAGAACTTCAGTTCACATAAACAACTTTCAAAATAGCTGAAACTGGTTTAAGATAAACCTGGATGAATATAGTATCAGACTTAACTGATTTAGGTTAAATTGGTATATGGAACTTGTGTCCCAGATCCCCTCCAAATTCAAGTTCACTCACAGTCCCCCAGCATCCCAGGATGCTTTTTACCTTTCCAGCAACCTCCCCCTCCCCTCGCAGGGTGGGCAGGCTATCATTGGCCCAAGCTGTCTTCTCCAACCGAACAGGGAGGCGTGCTCTAGTGCCTCGCAGCTTCTGGCCTGGTCTACTGCAGGCAGTGGCTGCATTTCCAGAATCAAAAGTGAATGTCTGTTACTTGCTATATTGCACAGCTTAGACTAATGTGCAAAGATTGAACTGACTCAGCCTCTGGCTTTTTGACTGTCTGTACTTGGCCTTTAGGATGGGGGTGTGCATGGAACAGAAATACTCCTGAAACAGAGCCCAGAGCCCAGGACCTCCTCCTCCCCCCCGTACCAACATAGGCAAGTGCCTTTGCCTTTAAGATACAAATTTAGGCTCTCTCTGGCCTGCAGTATTGAGAACACAGTGTTTCTGCTTCAACAGAAAGGATGATGGGCATCTTCACCCTGCTTATTCTATAGGCTGAAGAGGGCCTAGAATCTGGGTCTTCTCTGTTATGTTACAGCTGGACAGCACACCACTACCATTGCTTTTTCTCATCAGAGACTGTTGCTTCTGCCTTCCACGTTGAATTCAATGTTGCTGGTGTGTATTTGGTGTTCTCCGAGTAGCTTTTCCCAACTGGACCCCCCCCCCCTCCCCCCCAGGACACAGCAACAGTTTAAGTACTATTCTGCCTTGTATATGAATTGTAATAGAGCTTAGGAAGGAGCTAGCTCCCAAATATTTATTTTACCTGCAAGAACACAGTGGCTTTACAGTTACAATGACACATCCATTTCGAGCAAATGTTGAATTATAAACTCCTTTGGCTAATCACAGTGAATCGTGCATGGGTACCTCTCCTTTGTTCCTAACTGGGATCATTTCCCAAAGAATAAACAAAATATATTTCACAAACTTAATGCTTTGTGAAAATGTTTTGGGTATTTGTTCATTATTATGTACTTTTAAGAGCTAGTTTTGGCAAGAGTATTTGTAAACGGGAAAGAACTTAACCAGTAGAAAGCGTTGGTCATAATTAAAGCTCCTAGGCAGCAGATTAGAAGTCTTTCATATCCCCTTTACTGTTCTGGAAACAGCATTGTGATCTTATGCAGCATTTCCTATTTCCTGTCCAAGCAGCTGTTTGTATTGCCTTCCTCAACATGCATGTACCTGGTTTGTTTGAAAAAATCTTCAGCAGCTGTAGGGTATGTTCCCTTTCACAGCAGGACCCAGCATGCTACACTGTGCTTCTGTGCTGGAGTGGCACAATGAATGTAACAAGTGAGCCCTGTGGTTATACACAATTCCCCCTAACTAAAGGTTAAAATGTCATTAAACAATTTTTCCTCCTAAAATATTTCTTCTGTTCACTACATGTCCATAGTTTATTGTCTTTTATATAGTACAACCTCATAAATACAGCATGCTTGGGACCGAGCACTTGCCAGAAATTTGAAAATGCCAGGTTTTTGAAACTGGCGCGGCGGCCAGTTGTGGAGCAGGGGTTGCACGAGGAGCAGAGGCACGGGGTGGTGAATGGCAGCAGCAGCCGCCGCATGCAAGATTCCCCCTCCACATCTGGGAGGGCAGGGGGTGGGGACCAGCGGCTGGTCCCAGAGCAGCAGGGGGAAGTGCCAGATTTTTTATAATTCCAGATTTTTGGGATCTGGATTTATGAGGTTATACTGGATATCACAGAGTATATTTTCTGCAGGGAGTAAAAGGATTTATCTTATTCACAAGGTGAAATCTCTACATTAAGATTTACCCTGTCCAGATTCTCAACTGTTGTTGGGTTTTTTTTTTCCTGGGAATTTGCTTTGTACTGGCAGGATGCATTTAGATATTTGGCAAAATATGTAATGAACCTTGTGTCACACAGCCTTTCTGTATATTCATATTAGAAAGGCGTGTGTTATTCAGACCTTCCTGAATAACTGGCCACATCTGGAGTACTGTGACCAGTTTTGGACCCCCATTACAGAAAAGATGTGGAAAAATTGAAGAGAGTCCAGCAGAGGGCAATGAAATGGTTAGGAGGCTGAGGCACATAACTAATGAGGAGAGGCTGAGGAAATTGTGCTTATTTATTCTGAAGAAGAGAAGACTGAGGAGGGATTTAATAGCAATCTTCAACTATCATAAACGTGGTTACAAGGAAGATGGAGCTAGGCTGTTCTCAGTGATGGCAGATGAAAGAACAAGGAGCAATGACCTCAAGTTTAAGCAAGGGAAATTTAGGTTAGATATAAGGAAAAACTTTCTCACTAGGAGGGTAGTAAAGTACTGGAAGAGATTGTGGAATCTCCAGCCTTGGAGGTTTTTAAGATGCAGGTAGACAAAGCCTTGACTGGGATGATCTAGTTGGGGATGGTCCTGCAGAGGGTTGGACTAGCTGACCACCTGAGGTCCCTTCCATCCCTCCTTTTTTATGATTCTAAGAGCTGCAGTGGGTAGAATAGACTGTTTAGTACATTGACTGTTGTGTTCTGGATGGCCAGATGTTAAGGTTTCTGCTTTAGCTGCTTGCCCCCCCAGCAGAGAGTTGATTAAACACTGCCTTCCTTGAAGGAAAGCTTTTAATCTAATAATAAAGCCAGACGTTGCTCTATGGAGACAGCTGATGTTGACCAAGTAAAAGATTTACTAGTCACTTGAGCTAAGATATTTAAAGGTGACTAAAGGATTTGTGTTTGGAGTATGGGTGCACATGCACATGTGTGCATGTATGTGCATATCCTTCTTTTGATGCCACAGTTTGCAAGGGGATAGCACATTTTACTTTTATCTATATAAGACCAGCTTTTGAACAGTGCTTCTGAGAGAAATAATTTATCTTTCCTGCTATATTATTTTTATATGATCTAAAATCTTTTAGGACCAAATAAGTTTCCTTTAACACAAGTTTTCTCAGACCATATAGTTTAAGATGTTGTTTTTCCCTGTGAATCTGAGGGGATCAAAAAACTAAGCTACCATGCTTATCTTTCATGACTAAGGGATAAAAGTGTTATAAGAGATAAGAGAAGACAACAGCCTTTTTTCAGTCAACAAGGTAATAATGAGGAAGGGGCACACAATGAATTGGGTTACAATATTCCAGGACAGGAATCCTCCTGACAGGTATGGAAAGGTGTCCATTGATACCACAGTTCTACATCAATAAAAAAGCATACTTAATCATGTAAAACCCTTGCAGTTTTTCTCAGCAGAATCAAATTGCTTCATGTCAGTGGTCCTACCACTTCATTTCCTATCTCTTTCTCAATTCTTTATTAGAGTATCTGGAGAAACAGACAAAACCAGTTTAAAAATGCATGGTCATCTCAGTATAAACATGTATAAAAGGATATACATTTTGACTCAGAGAAACTGCTGAATAAGCAGCAAAATCAAGACTAATCAATATTGTATAATTTATTAGATATCTATGCTGCCTTTCCCAAAACATGTTCAGGATTGCTTATTATAAGAAATAAATAACTTAGACATACAGATAAAATATTAAAGAAGATATATATCATATAACAAATGCTCCCCAACAATACCCTAACTTAACCTTGCTTGCTAAACATCTGCCCAGATAAAATATCTTACAGTACTTCTATAAGATGTTCAGGCTTGTATAATAACTATGTTTAATGCATTTTCAGTTTTGCAAAATGTAAATAATATTGCATGTACGCTGACTTGCATCTCAGGTTTCCTTCTGATTTTTAAGACTGAAGCAAGGGGAACATTTTTAATTCCTTTATTGGACTAAAGGAACACTAACACTTATTGTTAATTAAGATTAAAAATAAGTGAAACCAAATAGGAATGGGAGATGGAAAAAAATATTGTGCAGACAGATTATGGGCAAGTCATATAAGTACGAAGTGTATCAAAGGTCCCAAAATGCCATCTCTCTATTAGAATAGCATAGTTGTTATACAGCTCTGTCAGGAAATAGTGTGTCTAAAGACTGCAAATGTGAATGGATATTGAAAACCTACTGAGTGGACACTACTTTGAAAATGTCTTCTTTTGTAAGGTTAAGTAAGCAAATGAAGGTGTTTCAGCATAAGAAATCAAACTGACATGCATCTTATGTCCTTTATGAAGAGTCTACTTACAAAGTTATGTGTTTGTTTTATGACCTATAGGACAGCTTTCCAGCTCGGTTTGGAGGAATTCATTTCGTCAATCAACCATGGTATATCCATGCCCTCTACACAGTTATACGACCCTTTCTAAAGGAGAAAACACGAAAAAGGGTACTCTTCTCTTTATTTTTATAATGATAGACCATTATGGTCACCAGATGTACAAAGGATATAGAAAACAAAAATAAATTATATAGTTGGAATTTATTTAATGTCTTTAAATGTCTATTTTGAAAGATTTTTTTGTGTCAAGGATCTCCACTTGCCTTGGAAATATATATGGCTTTATCCTTTGAGGATCTGATCTAAAGTAGCTAAGTGTTTAATTTTAAGCACAGGGTGTGTCCAGGTGGGCACGCATGTGCAGGACATGCATTTGCCGTGGCAAAAATAGTAGCGGCACAAATTTGTGCTGCTGATTTTTGCTGCTGCGCATGCCCCTGCCTGTGGGGTTTGGTAAGGGACAAAATGCCCCACTTTGGGGAAATGGCCATTTCCCTGTTTCTTCTGGCTCCTGGCATGCTGGAGAAGCTGGGGGACAACTAAAGGAGGGGCTCCAGCACCCAAAGCATCTCTCTTGAGGACCCAGCCTTTGTGATGGAATATTTAATAGAGCTTTTTCATCCAGAAATACAGACATAATATTTTTAAATTAGCTCTTTTTATTTTAAAAGAATACCTATAGTGTCATTTTTATTTCAGTGTCACTGCATTTGTCATTATTGACTAAAGTTATGATGCAAATGTACAAAATATTTAATTTGCGTACATATTTATATTCACTGTAAATGCATACAGAAAGGAGTGTGTGTGTGTACACCATTAATTTCTGAGATGTAGTCTAATTTGCATCAATAACATTGGTACAGTGGCAATGGTGAAGGTGTCCTTTGATGCATCCAGACCTACGCGTGCAAGGCTTGCTCTGGACTCATGCCGAAGGCCACGCTTCTTTGATCCAGCTGTACCTGGGAACTGGACATTTGGGCTGGGGAGTCCAGGGCTGGACATGATGTTAGCTACACCAGTCACAGGAGCTGCTGGCTACAGAAACTGGGCAACATAATTATGGTAGCCAGATGGATCCTTTAGGCTTCAACAGATTTTTGACTTTGACATCATTGTAACTAAAGTAGAGTTTGGTGGAGGTAAACATATAATGGTAATATTTCTTTAAATTGAAATTTGTCTTCCAATAAGACTCATTCAGCATCATACGTAAAACTTCTGTAGCATGTTTTAGTCTAGCAGTCTAATATATCAGATTCTCTAGGGAACTCTGTTTTTCTCTACCCAAATGCAGTACAGAATGCCTCAGTCTTTTTTAAGTGTTTAATAGATTTTTTGCTAGACAAATTATGCCTGAGAAGCTTCTGGTACTCATGAAATTATAACTATGGATCACCAAGCTTTTTATATAATACATGCTATAAATATGCAAATGAAGAATGCATTTTACCAGATTCATTTTTTTCTACTGATTTCAGCTTCAGTCAGAAGCATTTTAGTGTCAGAGGCATTTGAAATGTGTTTAAGTCAAGTGCTGTATGCACATAAAGAAGGACTGTGGTGCAGTTCATGAATATTACAAAATGCTACTATGTTTTTTAAAAGTGAGTAATCAAACATGGTTCCTAAGTTTAGGTTTTAAATCCATAACTTTACGGATGTTGAATTCTTCTAGTTCACTTGAAGGTTTTGTTAGTGTGTAACACCTCTAAAATAAACACCTATAAAAATAATTTTAGGCATTCAAATTTGAAATTTCAGCCAAAATATATAATTTAAAATCAACTTTGGAACGCAGTAAGAAGCCAGTCTTGAAATACAGGGTAGTATCTTCCTAAAACTACAACATCCCTCTGGGTTTTTGTTAGAATTTTGCTAGGCTTGTCATCGATATTTTTTGTTTATAAAGTTACAATGAATACCCATAGCAGATGCACAGGTTATAAAGTTCAGTTGAAAAACTATGTTCAGATGAACATAAGTATAAAACCATACCTTAAAATGGAATAGCTTCGGAGAGGCAATATAAAACAAATTACTTCTGCCATAAACATTTGCACTATTTTTTCATGCAAGGATAAGTTCTTTATTTTTAAGATTGGAAAACATGTGCTGGTTTTGTATCTTTATATTAAACTGCTTCATCTTTGCAGCTGCTTGCTGGGTGAACTGAAACAAATGGAAAAATGAATGTATATGTTCTTTTGTCTCTGACTTTTTTTACTTGCTGCTTTTTAATATAACTTCTAAAATTGCTCATCTAGCCATTTCCCCTCTTCCTATTTTCAATTAGAGAGGGCTGCTTGAATCCATATAGCCTTAGTGTTATAAAACTGTTTCTTTATGGGCTACACAAAGCACATATTTTAAAAATAAATCACAGACTGCCAAAACAATGATATTCACAGCAATATCTAGTCAACCAATCATTCTCACCTATCATTCTATTCTCATAGATAAGACATGTTTGATTTAAGGGTGCTGATTGTCTTGTACATTGCCATATATAGGTAATATAATTATCCAGCAAAATGCTAGGTCAAAAACTTTTCAGTGGAGTCTGCATAAATCATTGTTTAATAGCTAATTGGAGGAAGTCGGCTCCCCTTATTTATTTAATAATGGAATGACAAAGCTATTAATAAATACAAATAATATTAAAAGAAATGTAACAAATGTCTCTGTTTACACAGCATATAACTGTCTTCCATCTTAGGGCCTTGATTCTGTGCATGCTTTAAGTATGACTATTCACATGCGTAAAAGTAAATTTCTTCATATTTGTAGGATCAGAGACATAAATGGGAAGCCAGTTTTCAAACAAAGACCTTGTCTGTCTTTTTGGTGGTAAATTACTTAGCAGAGCAGGGCTGTGATATAAATATTTATTACCAGTTATATAATAATGATACACTTTTGAGCTGTGGGAATAGCTGTGATTTTTTTTTTCATATATATGCAGATATTTCTTCATGGAAATAACCTCAACAGTCTACATCAACTGATTCATCCTGAGATCCTACCTTCTGAGTTTGGAGGAATGTTGCCACCGTATGACATGGGGACATGGGCCAGAACACTGCTAGACCATGAATATGATGATGACAGTGAATTCAGTGCAGATTCCTACAACACTTCCTCGAAAGACACAGAAAAGGACCTCTCTCCCAAATCCATGAAGAGGTATGTGAAATAGGATTCTGTGGCATGCTAGCACAGTTGGGATGTCAATATGTCTTGTATTCCTCATTATGATTGTTCTGAAGCCTTTCATAATTCCCCCAAACAATTTGTAATCTAAGAAGCTAGTTTTTAGAAGGCCATTATACAGATGCTGATAGTCATAATTCATGTGGAATAATTAATTATAAATAATTACTTCTGACGTGCTATCTAGTTAGGTGCTTTATGGGCAATAAGCTAAGGTTCCCTCTCCCCACTCCCTCCACCTCTCCAAGTTGTTTTACACTGTATGTCAGAAAGCATATAGAGAAAATAATGGGGAGAAAGAGACAGGATTCATGTGAATTGAGTTTGATAACCAGCTCAACATTCTAGGATTTATCTAAGAAGATAGATGCTAAATTTTAGTTATATTTTACAGTTACAGGGTAGGCAAGAGAACAGAAAAGGCTAGTTATTGGTGGAAGGCAGGCTGGAAGAAGGCAGTTTTTTAAAAACCAAAGGAGAGCAAGGTGTCTTGATACCCTGAAAAAGTGGCTGTTTCAACTTTTGCTATAGTATAAGGAAAGGGTACAAGGTTGCAAGTGGAATGGCTCTTTTGCAGCCAGAAGGTTTTTGTAATGCAAGGCATCAGTAAGTAGGCATATCATGTAAGCAGGGGAGAAATTTAGGCTAGAAAGCATTATAGAGATCTCTAAAAAGAGGCTCATCTACTCTCAGTGACAGTAGTATAATTTGGGAGTAATTTGAACGTGAACATCCAATCCAAGGGGCTGGGTTTGATGCAGAAAGAGACAGGGAGCCTCGGAAGAGATTCTAACAAAGAGATCTATATTCAGAATTGCAGAAAAGGACAATGATTTTGAGCACAGAATATGGATGGAGAGCGGAGGGACAAGAGCTCATAGTTGCAAAGAAGTCAACAAGGGGCAGATGTTAGAAGTTTTGTTTTGAGAAAGATGGTAAGAACTGACAAATGAGAAGTTATTAAACAGTCTGAATGGAGAGAAAGATGAAGAAGGAGAAGTTAGAAGTTCTCTAGAAAGTGAGCGACAGGAACAGTGATGGGAACCATCAAGAGAAATTATAAGAAAAAGACGGGAAGGTAAAGGGTTTGGGTGGGGGAACATGATGGATTTTGATTTTTAGTGTTCAGTATAGTGTTTAATTTTCACATCTTTTATGAGGAATTATGGGATACAGAAACATTACTATCTTGGACAGAGGGAAAGCAGGAATAGAGATGCAGATTTACACATCTCATCACTGAAAAGATGGTAACTAAAGCTATGAGAGCAAATGATCTCACCCAAAGAAGGTGAATGTAACAGGAAAAAATTGAGAGGGCTGATGGCAGACCCCCCCCTTGAGGCAAACCTCGAGTCTGGATTGGAGAACTGTGTCAGTGAATTGACTGAGCTCTTCTGTTTTTCAAAATGGAGAATAGTTATCTATTTTCTCTGCATTTTACTCATGACTTGGAAAACCCTTGAGGCAGAATTACACTTCAGTTTAGCTTTCAAATTGATCTTCACATGCAGTGCACAGTATTTTTTCCACTTGAGTAAATATTGTAGATGTGTACCAGCACAGGAGAGGACGTTCCAAGTATGTTATTTCTCTGTGCATATAATTTATTCTGAAACAATGTTCAACTGAAATACCTTCACCCTTATATGCTTAGATTATCATATTTATTCCTATAGCACAACTGCAGTGTATGCTGGAATCCCCCTTCCCAACTGTTCTATATAAAAGGAACCAACTGGAGCTTCTGCAATTGTAGTGCACAGGAGAGAGAGGTAGTTAGGACACTGAATAGGAAAACCAAGTTTTAGAGCAGAATTCTGTCCCTTTTGTGTGCATACCTCAGTGTTTTTGGTGTTTACATTTGCACTATAAGCATGTAAGTGTGCGTGTGTGTACAGAGTATGTATATGAATATGTACACATGTACATGAGCATATGTCCTGGAAAAAGCTTAACTAACACCTATAGCCCTTTGGCTAGGGACAGAAGGTACACTTAAACTGGTATAAGTAAAGGGAACCAGTTAAGATCTGTAACACAACAGGGCTAGGGACAGACATTCAAAAAGTCTGAACCTGAATTGATTCAATTTTTGCAGGTTAGTCTAACCTGGCTAGGCTGAACTGGTTTGTAACTGTACAGACATCCCAGAAATGCAGACACATGCCTGCAGTGGCTCAGGTTAGAAGCTGGGGGGTGCTAGAGCAGCCCTCCCATTCCTTCCACAACACTGAGCTGAGGGGGAACATTGCCAGACCCTGGCAGGACACTCTGATTAGCCCAGTAGGGAATTGACAACAGTGTTTATAACCCCTAACTTAGTGTTTATCGCCCTATTAAGAAAACAACAGAGGGACATTACCAGCTACCTGTTGATTCTGCCTGTTGATTCAGCAGGGACCATAGCCAGCATGTGGTCTGCTATCTAATACACAGACAAGTCCTCAGCAAGGCTGAGGGAAGGGGGGAATTCCTGCTTAGCAGTGAGAAGGAGGGGGTGGAGCAGCCTGCAGTCTGTGCTGGAGCTGCAGCCAGAGAGCAGAGGGGAGGGGTCAGCCCTGCTTTGGAGAAGAGAGCCTTGCCCAACCCAGAGAGCATGCCAGGATGCTGGGGGTGTTTGGCTTATTTTAAACAAGCAGGGGGTCTGGGATAGACATTGCATAAGACGGTTTGACCCAAATCAGTTAAGTCTGATAAACCATGTTTATCTCAAACCGGTTTCAGCCATTTTCAAACTGGTTTATGTGCACTGAACATTTGTTCTGTTACAGGTTTTAACCAGTTTCTGATCACTTAAACCAGTTTATGTGTAATGTCTGTCCCTACAGAAGTTCACTGCACATAGACCGCTTTCAAAATGGCTAAAACCGGTTTAAGATAAACCTGGATGGATGTAGTATCAGACTTGACTGATTTAGGTTAAATCAGTTTATTGAACTTCTGTCCCAGATCCCCTCCAGATTTAAGTTAACTCACTAGCATCCCAGGATATTTTTCACCTCCTCCACAAACTCCACTTTGCAGGGTAGATGGACTAGGTTTGGCTCAAGCTGTCTGCTCCAGTAAAGCAGGGAGTCATGCTCTAGCTCCCCCCGACTTCTGGCCTGAGCCACTGTGGGCATGTGGCTGCATTTCCAGAATCAAAATGAATGTCTTTTGTTCACTGGCTTATCAACTCAATCTGTGCAGTTTAGACTAACCTGTGAAGACTGAAACAATTCAGCCTCTGACTTTTTGACTGTCTGTACTTAGCCTTAATGGGCATTGGATATAACACATGAAGAACAGTACAGTGCAGAAGTTTTTTGTTTCACTGGGAGAAAAGGTCCAGTCTAGGACCCCGAGTCCCTTTCTATCCAGAGAAGCAGCCATCTCACTGAGGCACACACCCCATAATTTGCTCTTTTCTTTCTGGTCACACGTATTTCCCTCTCTTTGCTGCCCAGGGGTACAGCTTCCAAAGGAGCAAGGGCAAGAAGAGGACTGGAAAATGCCTAAGCCACGGGGTGGCAGTTTGAGAATTGTGTTGAGAAGTCCTAGAGAGGCAGGGCAAGGGGGAACTAAGCCAGATCTTTGACTTCCTGGGCAAATGTCCCAACCGCATAGATATTGAGAGTAAAATATAGGTTAGTGTTAGCTTTGGGTTTCTGGCTGACTACATTTTTGTGCTGTGTGCATTCAGAATGCATCTGTGTATATGGCTGTGTGTATGCCTATCCAGTACATAGGCTGCTGTGCATACTCAGTCAAGGTGTGCACTTATATATTCTCACTGCAGGTTAATAGAACCTCAGCCTGCACGCAAGTGTCAAAAATAATGCTTACACAGCTGACACTGACATTTAGGTGGACAAAGGGAAACAAATATACAAACAATATTAAAATAACATTGAGGCTGGGATAGCAAATAGTTAAGGTAAGCAAAATTCAAGTGAAGGCTGATTTTCTTTTTTTTTTTTACTACCTTGTTTGCACAGATATTGTACCACATTCACAATGGTGTGCAACTGCACACCTGATTTTTTACATCTGTAATACACAGCAGTAAGAGAAAGAATGAACAATGGAGCAACAACCTTAACTGACTCTCCTGGACTTTGTACATATTTTAAAGCTAGCAAATCCCCCAATAATTTTCTTGCTTAAATTCCCTCTGCCATTTCAGAGCACATTTGCTTGCACAAGATAATACCCTTCCTTAAACCAAAATCCTGCTAAGAATGTCTTTACTCAGTCAGCCTGCTTGCTTCCTTACAGCCATAACATGTACTTTGAGATGGTTCAGACCTCAGTAAAATTATCTGAGATTGATTGAACCTCATTTGAAAGGCAGAATGAATTTATGGTTCAGGCACAGTGACAGGCCTCACAGGATCTGGTTTCTACTCCCAACTAAACTTTGTGAGTCTGGTTCTCATTTGCACTAACTTTGCAAATTAACTTTGAGTTCTGTTTCTGATCTCTGATGGGGGAAGGGAAGATAATAATACTAGTCCTTCTCACAGACATGTAGAGAGGTTTTATTAAAAATATTTTTAGAGTGCATTGAGACTTGTAGATGGAAGAAACTATAAAATTGTATTGTTATGTTAATGTGTCCTGGAGGTACTATACTCTGGAGCGAAATGGAGGAGACCAAATCATTTTTTGTTCCAAAATGGATTGAAAAATAAAATGTTGACATTTCCTGCAGAATGGGAATGCTCAAATTGTATTTTGAACAAGTGATCCATTTTGAAAATGCTTGACTTTGGCCTTTTGAAACTATTCTGTAGCTCACAAGGCACTGCAAAACAGTTGGTTGACTATTTGCCTAATTATACTTAAATGCATATAAAAATACTTCTTTTTAGCTCTTGTTCTTTCTTTGTGTACAAGTGCGTGCACACACACTCCCATATGCATATGAACAGGGATCCAGGTTTTCTGTTTCCCATGGAAAAATACAAAAAAAGGATTTCTTCTTTTACCCAAGAAAAACGTGGATTTTTCATTTTAATGGTGAAACATGTAGATTTTGCAGTTTTGCAAAGAGCTCTCTGCAGGTGGGCCAAGTTCCAGCCTGCAAGAGGCCGGGGGGAGTGGGAGGAGGGCAGTCAAGCAAGGGGTGCCATGTGCATGTATATGCACCTTGCCACCGGGCAGCCTGGAGAACAGTTCCCAAAGGTAAGTGTGAGGGGTGCGGGGGGGAATTGAGGCCCCCACAGGGAGGGAGGGGAGGAGGGAGTTGGGCAGGGCAGGGCTGGGTCTGGGGCTGCTGCCCAGCTGGGTGATGCATGCGGCTTGGGGGCCGGGGTCGCAATGCGTGGGTGCAGAGCCCCGATAGGGACCAGGATGGAGCTGTGGATTGCTCATCTGGGGTGGTGGTGCTGGCTCTCCCAAGATCTGTGCACAGGGTGGGGGCAGGCTGGGGAAGCTTTTTGCAGCCACTGCGGGCCCCGTGCTGCCCTGGCAATGTGCCCCCTACCCTTTCCAGAGCAGCGGGAGCAGCAGCATAGGATTGTGCCCCTTGCTTCTCTGGGGCAGGCAGGGAGTGCATTGGCAGGGCACCATGGGGCTCACAGCAGCTGCAATGAGCTTCCCCACCCAGCCCAACTCTGCTGTGCCCTTCCGGGTCCCATCCACTGGTCTGCAGAGGGCCCAGGGGAGGGCAGCAGAGCAGGGAGCCTGAGCCCGCAGCAGCCAGCCCATCCATGTTCCACGCAAATATCTGGGGGGCATGTGCCCCCCCACCCCCTGTTGCTCCAGGAGAGTAGTGGGGAGCCAGCCTCCCCCACCCGAGCCCACAGCAGGCAGCCTGCACCTGCACCCCTCCATTGGCTCTGCTCTGGCTGTGCCACCTATGGGGGAGGGGGAGCCAGGCTCCCCACTCTTAGGCCACAGCAGCCACCACTGCCCACAGGAGGCAGCTGGGGCTCCGATGGTGCTGCGGGGATCAGGGGGTTGTGGACCTGGGTCTCTGGCCCCAGAGCCCTGGCAGCTGGGGGCCTGCTCCAGCAGGGTTGGGAGGGCAGGGGGTGGGGGGGAGTAAGGGGCACCAGTGGGCCTGGGGGGCTGTGGGTTGGGAGTGAGGAGCCTGGACCTGCGTTCTGTGAGCTAGGGGGGCAGAGGGAGCTCTGATTTTCCATGCTAAAAAACCAAAAATCAAATACCATAATTTACAGGTATTTAGAATTGATTTTATTATAGTGATTGAGGCACTGGTAAGCTTCCAAATTGCTTTAAAATTGTAAATATATCAATAAAACATGGTGTTCAATTGATAGCTATATATATTACAGCATTTCATTTTAATTGCAGATTTTGGAGTTTTTATCAGAGAATTTGTGATTTTTCTCAGAGAAAACCAGGATCCCTGCATATATGACTATCTGGTGGCTACAGAACTGTTTTCTTCTCTCAACCCAGAACAAGGAATTTCATCTTTAGAACTACACAGGCAATATTCAGTGCCATGCCATGATAGGTTTAAGGGCAGGCAATAGAACTCAGATTCTTATTCCACTGAAATAGACAGATTCTTAGCTTTCTGCTAGAAGGAATTAGTATTATTTATTTGCATGGTAATAGTGACCAAAGGCTGGCCTGAGATCAGGACCATATTGTGCTAAGTGCTCTAGAAAGATAGACACAATTCCTGTCCAGAAGAGTTCACCTTCTTTTCTTCATGTTTTATTAGAAGGATGGGCCAAATTATCTTCTGCTGTAAATTGACCCAGTTCCATTGATTTCAATGGATCTGTTCCAATTTACACCAGTAAAGAATTTGGCCCAATGTTTTTTCTTATGTGCTTGAGTTCTGGTGTGATGTGTAAGTGTGCTCTTGTCCCTTTAACTGGTTTTTAAAATGGTTTTGGAATTAATATGTAAAAATGAGGATCATACCTTCTCTGGACTTGATGTTGTACAAATTAGAAGCTAAGCTGGGTGGTGTGGAGGCAGAACGATATGCAAGCCTTCCAGGGAAAACCCCAGCAACTGCAGCAAGTAGCATTGACAAATTTGTGTCACTTTCCCACTCAAATAAGACTACGCCAGGGAATTATAATTCCAACTTTGCACTTTTATTGTCTTTTATCAGACAATCTCTGAGTGTTTTACAGTCAGCTATGAATGTAGGCATACAATCCTGCCCTAGTCAACTCAGTTAAACTGATAAGGGTGGTTAAAGTCTGTCCACTGGTCCAGAACTCCTGCTGGCCATGGGAGGAGTCCATGATGCTGGGTTTGGAGAGTGCACTCCAGGGTGCACTTAAGTGCTGCTCAGAAGAGGAGCAACTTGTGCTTCTAGCTAATATGGGCTGCTAATTTTGCCATTCCAGTAGTAAGCTGGGTTGTTGGAGAGACCCCTTTTTGGTAGATGGAATGGGTGTCAGTGCATGGGTTGGTATAGAAGATGGCTTACAGTCTGTTGTGTGCTAGGGAGAAATCGTGTCTTGGTGCTTGTATGAACAAAACAGGATGCCTCTGCTTTTTCACCCCGTGTTTCCATTCTGCTTCAGCATGCCAGCACAGTGGCCATTCATTTGGTTTGGGAGGGTATTTTCTGATCATTTGCTGTGATAAGATATTTGTGCTCCCTGGATTATTATTTTTGAACTCTGAAACCCCCCCCCCCCCCCCCCCCCAAACCAAAGTGCTGATACTTACCCTCATTTGTCTTGATTGAGAAAAAATGGAAAAAACAACACCATGTTATCCTTTTGTAGGTCTCAGTCAGTCGTGGATCCTGGGGTTCTAAAACGTGTGGATAAACATGAGGAAGAAAACATGCAGCCTTTGCTTTCACTTGACTAACAGCTCCTGAGCATCAATTGTGAACTGAGGTGGAAGGTACTGCCTTTCAGCAACAAGCAAAATTTTGGGATGGAACGTACCAGCTAGAAATCTATTTATTCATGTTAATGTAGCATAATGTTATCAGGCAGCAGGTTTTGCTGGTCTGCCTGAAACATGGGTGCCCTGGAACGAAAAGGAAAACAAAAATCAATAATTTATTCTGTAAGTGCCAACTTGTTTGTAAATACAATGTAATCTTCTGCTTTGAATTTGTAAATCATCGTAAGCAAGCAGAATGGAAAAGTGACTATTAAAATGTCTCAGTGAATGCACTATAAAAAGGTGAAAATTGCATACACAGAAAGAGTAAGCAGAAACATCAAGCCTACTAAGTTTTGTCCTTTTTCAAGGAAGCCATATTGCAGCCGCCCTACAACTGCTTTTTTCCCCCTCAATGACGGTTGTATAGTGTTCAAAGGTAAAGCGGGAACATAAGAACTTGGAAGGATTGGTGTAAGCAGTAGTTTCCTAACAGTAGGAATTGATTTCACAAATAACTTTGTGGCTTGGACCATGACTTGGCATAAGTAATGGAGCATTGAGAAAAGAGGTGACAGACAAGCAGGAAACCACATTTTTCTACTGTTTGGCTGGAAGATTTTGGAGGTTGCTTTACCTTTACTTTTTCAAGCAAGGTTTGGGTTTGAAAGCTGCTTGACTCATTATCCTAAGCTGGGGTTTACAGTGCGTGCCATAGCAAAATCACTTCTATTGCATATGGGGTGTACTTCAAGAATTTTTCCTGAACTCTCTGCTCCCTTGAAATGAGAACGTATTTATCCAAAAACAGTGTAATAACCAGTATTTTGAATATAAAGAGAAGCATCAGCAGGTTAAGGGTTAATTTCTCAATCCTGTGCACTGGGCGACTGAATACATATATATATTTTTACCAATCTCTTACAAACATATGAAGTGACATTGTTAGATGAGTATATTTAATCAAGGGTTTATAAAAACAAAAGCATACCTATTCAATGTACTTAGATATATTATAGATTGTATATTGAGGCAATGTCATCATTAATGTAGTAAAACTTTCTGTATAGCGTCCCACTTCAGACGAGGATTAATATGAATAAGTTGTGGTCAGACATCGCCGCCTATGTGTTTAAGCCACCTTTGTTTTGGTTGTGGTGTAACTGTATATATAGAACATGTGCCATAATGGAGAAATACGTTTTACCTCAAAAAAATAACAGGTCTCGATACAGACTGGACAAAATCATCTGGAATTTGGGGGCTATATTTTCACCTATGATGTATACTTGTGTATGTTCAGTTCATTGTGCGTAAAGGCAGGAATTTGCCTGTGAAATTGCCAGACATCTTCTATCAGTATTTGACACTGCTATCAAACCAGAATAGGAAGACATGGGATATTCAAGACAATAGTAATGAAGAGTAGAGATCTAGTAGGAACATACCAGAGTCAGTCAGGAAACAAGTAAGTGTACTCTGCCTGAAACCTGGGATAAATCATGTAAAACCCATAGAAATCCAATAATTGGGAGTCTATGGGGGCATCTACATGAGACACTTACTGTGGAGTTGCCTAATTAGCTTCAAATGTAAAGCATCTCCATCTATATGTGTGGAACTATTAGGCCAGAGTAAATTAATTAACTCCGCCCTAGGTTAGTACTGCCCAATACAAGTACTATCCTATGGTGCAGTTATTTACTCCGCCACAACGCATGGGTAAACTGCGACGGGTTGGCCAGGCCATGAGGGTGCTACAGTGTGGGGCTGCCTGCTGGCTAGCCCCACACTGTAGCACCCTTGTGCCCCAGCCAATCCCTCTGCAGCACGTTGAGCCTCCTGGGGATCCCTGCCAGCCAGAGCTGTGCTGCATGCTGCAGTCCTGGGCACACGTGTAAATAAAATTCAGCATGAATTGCACCAGAGCTTATTTAGCTGTGCTAATTTCATGTGTAGATGCACCTTGTGAGAATCAAAGAAGTTGTTTCACTGCAGCAATGATTACTTTTCTAATGTTAAACTCAAAGACACCATTCACAGCTTAGCAGCCATCTCCAGTGATGACTCTAATGTTGAGAAGTAATATCAAATTTCGGAAGAGAAATCCTGTGGGAGACTCTCATAGACTTTAGCTGTACATAATATTGCAGCAATTTTAGTAGTGACAACAGTCAGAAGGCCCTGTTGCCTCTTCTAGCAAACCACATTTAGCCACCTGACCAGCACACAGAAAGCCAGAAATACAGCTTTAATACTTACTTATTGATTAATTGGTCAGACTGCTGAATGCTGTATGCCAGCACTTAGTGCCTCCATATGTGGTCATATTCTTGGAATGGTTTTGAACAAATCATTGTATTTCTGCACTCTTAAATATGCTCTTACCATGAAAATATAGTTATGAAAAGAATAATATACAGGGGTCTCTGTCTGAAAAGTGTTGCTCAAAGACAGCTCCAACAGAAGTAGATGAGAAATGGGGATACATCCACCTTTGAAATTTGGGCCACAGCTTTTATATGAGCTTCTTTCCAGTGAAAGAAACCATTGGAATAGCAATTGTTATCCTTTAAGAGACTTTGAAGCAGAGTTATGAATGGTCTTCTATTATTTTATGAAGCTCTCTGATGATCAGTGTAACATTATGATATACATATATATGGATGCAAATTGTATAATTATATAATGTACTTTTATATATATACAAGTTGCATCCTTAGAGTTCATATCTATGCCCAGATCTGGATGTATGCCATACATACCTAGCACTCATATGGTCAGCAGTATGGCTTTTTTTTTTAATCTATTCAGATTTTGAGATCCTTACTCTTACAGATAAATCTCTTTAAAAAGTTTCAAGATTTTATTCAGAGTTAATATACTCCATATTTTAAGCGTAAGTAAACATATTGAGGATTGAATATTGATGGATGCTTTTTGGGAGAGACAGGGCCTGGTCATGGTGTAACTCAGCATATCAGCATTGATTTCAGTTCATACCAGCCAAATATCAAGCCCATCATGTCTTGGGAGATCCAGAAATGAGACTGGTTGACCCAAATCTCAATGAAGCTTCATGATAGAAAATTACATATGTATTTTTTAAAACTTCTGTGCACCAACTGGCTAATTTGTTTTGTTCTGGAATTCCTTACAGTATCAGTGTAATTGCAACTTTATATAGTATGTTTTGATTGAGACTTTACACTAATGAGCATTAATATAATCTATTTCAGATAGTGAAAGTAGACTATATTAGAATGTGTTTATAACCAAGACCTTATCCTTTATGAAGAAGCAAGCTACCAGCATTTTTTCCGGGAGAGTCTCATTACTGAGGAACTGGGATTTGGTACATTTTGGTTGAAGCTGATGCCTACCTGGAGCTGTTTCATGCAGCAGGAGCAAACATTTCTCTGATTGAAAAAGAACCTGAAGATAGAGAAGAGAAATAAACGACTTTATTTAATTTTGTCTATATTTTTTCACAAACCATTCTGTTACCTAGTCAGGATGTATGAAAAAGTATCTGTCAGCTTCTTTTTTTTTAATCAAAGTCATGCTTTAGCAAGCAGAAATTGGTCAGATCTTGTTTATAGATAGGCTTATTGTGTAAGACCTGAATTTTGGACTGATAATGGTTCTTTATCTTCATTATTATAGAATACAGAGGTTTAGGTTGTGGTATATATCTGGGGTATTAAAGGCAGAGTGCATCTTTAAACATGGGTAGGAAAATCCTGTGTTCCTAACTATTTGTTTTTAGGACCCTTTAGGTTTTAGGTCCCATATTACACTGAAATCTGGTTAATTGGTCACTGGGTAACTTGTTATTATTGTCTTATTAAATAGCGCACAATTCCCTGCCAGAGTTTCATTGATTTATGCAGAAAATACTTTGGCTAAATCATCATCTGTGAACGCATAATTAGTCATTTCCAAATGTACATCACAACGTACATCAAATCACAATGAAAATCTGCTCCTGATAATTAAGCAGCTTAAAAGGTACTGACCTATGCCTTCCATAGCATATGTCAAGCCTAGTGATGCTTACAAAGCATTGGATACTCTTCAACATTTCTTGGTTTGACAACATGTAGGCAATCAACAGTTCCATTTTACCAAACTATCTTCTACTTTGGTAATGAGTGCATGTAAGCGTGCAAAGCAAAAACCTTCAAGTAATTATTTTACTTCCTCATAATCATGTAATAATTATATAAATGACATTCTGAATTGCAGTAAGAAACAGTACATTAAGCATTTATCTATATAATAATGCAGTTCTTGTATAGTAAGCCATAGTGTATATAATTTGCACTTGGAATGTTTGTAATATAGTTTCCCTTCATTACAAATGTCTAAACCATTCTTAAATGGGTCTCAATGTGGCATGAAAAATACATCTCCTAAAAATTTGAAAATGGCTACTATTAAGGATTAGTCATTCATGAATAGTTAGTCATCATTACCAATCCCCTAGGAGTGATGAATTAACCAGATTTTGCGGGGGGAGGGGGGGTTATCAAAACTATCTTTTGATCTGAGGTATTGGACAAAAGTAATAAATGCAGCCAAACATACAATTAAGTGGAAAGCAAAAATGTTTTTTAAAGAGTTATACTTTTAGGTCTTGGGAAAGTCTTAAAATGTCCCTTTAAGTTATATTTCTCTGAATAAAACAGATACTTTTTTTGAAGTACTGAGAATCATAAAATCTTTTTGCTCTGATGGCCTGATCCAGAATCCAGTGGAGACCCAGAGTGGATAAAAATCAGTGATTAAAAAAAATGGATTTAAAAAATTTAAATCAGATTTTTAAATTTAATCATATTTTTAATATTTTGTTAAGATGCTTTTAAAAATAAACTTATATAAAGATAGTTTTAGGTTAAGGTACATTAAAGCTCAAATTATATCATCATGGAATAGGGATTATAACTTCTAATTATATACTATTTGAGACAATATATTCATGTAACCTTTTTAAAAGTTTTATAAATAGGTCACAACAGGCCATGGACTATATTAGGGGCCCAATGTTATTGGGTTCCTAAAGGCTCCTTTATAGATTAGCAAAGATTAAAGAAAACTACTCTACCCAATGGGACTCAGTGCTCAGTCTAGAAGATCACATTGAGCATCTCTGTGATGCTTAGTTTCAGTTCTCAAATTGTGGATTTGTGTCTCCAGAGATCATAGGCAGACAAGGTTCTTTGGGTAGATGTGATATCTTTTATTAGACCAACTAAATAGTTGGAAAAATTGTTCTTTGCCAGCTTTCAGGCACAAATGCCCTTCAAGCCTAGGGAGAGTTTGTTGTCTCCAGAGATAACATCCTTGTTAACAGCAGTATATGGAAATGAGAGATAACAGACCTGATTACCTACCCATCAGCCCTATTGTCTCTCTGCAAGTTTGTGTACACACAATCAAGCACTTACCTTCCTCTAAAAGTGCAAAGTTTCAAGAAGCTAAATGAATAAAACGAGTCAGTGTGCCCAAAACACCCACAGCTTCAACTTGTAAGATGTTGGTGTGCCAGGCATAGATGATGGGGGAGCCATGAGGGGCTCAGTCCTTGCTGTTGCTGTGTAGCCCCGGCCCCTTCCCCACCATCCACCCAGAGGCACATGTGCCAAGCAAAATGCCTTTAAGTGCCATGCTCTGGCACCCGTGCCACAGGTTGCCTACCCCTGGAATAAAAGATATCAAACAGCTGCCTTTTTGCCCTAGGCAGAGGAAGGCTGCGGCTAACAGGATTTAGCACCCCCCCCAACTTTTTGCGGCAGCTGGTGACAGCAGCAGCACCATGTAGCCACTGTGCCGCAGCTTGGTATGCAACTGCTCCTCCTGGCACCGCTCGGCATGCAGCTGCTCCTCTGCTGCCACACAGCACCAGCACACACCGGCCCCACAACCGCCCTTTGGGAGGAGGGGCAGGGGTCAGGTGGGGCTCAGCCCCCTCAAATAATATTTCCCTCCACCACTTATGCTTTTTGTAGAATACAATAATTAAATCAAGGCTTCCTGACCAATAATTTAAATCATGATTTAAAACATGATTTAAATCAAATCCACCCTCTGAAGACCATAATCTGTTGGCCTCATTGGGCATTGGATTGGGTCCCAGTGACCTTCAATGGAAACCAAAATTTATGTGAACTCACAAGAGAGGATGACATAGTTTTAACCTCAGTTTTATCCCAGAGGGAGAAACTTCCTTGTGCAGCCTATAAATTGTTTTAGACTCCAATGAACATATTGTGCCTGTTCACAAAAGAAACTATTTCAAAAGTAAGTAAACTAAACATGCTGAGGGGCATATTAGCTTTAATAGTATGCCTCTAAAAGAATTAACTCCTCATTGTGCATGAAGAGATGCCCCTCTATATTATTTACTTATAATCTCAAAAAACCTGTACAGTCCTTTTTATTTCTATGTCTTCTTTCTATATTCTGTGTTCTATATTAGGAATTTAAAAGTTTCCAAATCTGAGAACAAACAAGCAAAATATTGGGGACACAAAAATCAAAGTGATCTATCTGCTACGTTATCTTCTGCTCTTTTGGTACCAACATTTTCTCAAGATATTGGGAAAGGCCATGTTTGAGGAAGTAGGAGAGAAAAAAAACCTTAAATCAGCCTTTTAAGTTTAGGTATGTTGGAAAGAAATTGAAGAGAAGGCATTCATATATAGTAAAGTCATAGAATCATAGAAAATTAGGGTTGGAAGGGACCTCAGGGGGTCAACTAGTCCAAGTCCTACCTGCTGAAAGCAGGACCATCCCCTGTCATCCCAGCCAAGACTTTATCTACCCAGGTATTAAAAGCCTCTAAGGATAGAGATGCCACAACCTCTCTATAGAGCCTGTTCCAGAGCTTTACTACCCTCCTAGTGAGAACGTTTTTTCTAATATCTAACCTAAACTTCCTTTGCGGTAACTTGAGGACATTTTTTTTTGTTCTGTCATCTGCCACGCTGAGCCTAGCTCCATCCTCTTTGTGACCATTTTTCAGGTAGTTGAAGAATGCTATTAAATCCTGACTCAGGCTTTTCTTCTCCAAACTAAATAAGCCCAGATCCCTCAGCCTGTCCTCAGAAATCATGTGCCCCAGCCCTCTGAACATTTTTGTTGCCTTCCACTGGGCTCTCTCCAATTTGTCCACATCCTTTCTGTAGTGGGGGGGCTCAAAACTGGACACAGAACTCCAGATGTGGCCTCACCAGTGCCAAACAGAGGGGAATAATCATTTCCCTAGATCAACTAGCAACACTTCTACTAATACAGCCTAGTATGCTGTTAGCCTTCTTTACAACAGGGACGCACCGTTGGCTCATATTCAGCTTACTGTAACCTCCAGGTCCTTTTCTGCAGAGCTGCTGTTTAGCCAGTCAGTACCCAGCCTGTACTGGTGAATGGGATTATTCTGTCCGAAGTGTAGGACTTTGCATTTCTCCTTACTAAACTTAATGAGATTTCTTGTGTTCCAATCCTACAATTTGTCTAGGTCTCTCTGAATCCTAGTCCTACCCTCCGGCATATCTACTACTCCACCCAACTTGGTGTCATCCGCAAACTTTCTGAGGGTACATTTCATCCCATCTTCCAGGTCGTTGAAGAAGTTATTCAACAAACCAGCCCCAGGACCAACCCCTGGGGCTCTCCGCTTGATACTGGCTGCCAGTAAGACATTGAGTCATTGATTGCTATCCTTTGAGCCTGCTGATCCAGAGAGTTTTCTATCGACCTTACAGTCCGTTAATCTAACCTGTACTTCTTCAGTTTGCTTGTGAGAATGGTGTAGGAGACCGTATCCAAATCCTTGCTAAAATCAAAGTGTATCACGTCCACTGCTCTTCCCACAACCACAGAGCCAGTCATCTTACCATAGGAGGCAATCAGGTTGGTCAGGCATGACCTACCCTTGCTGAATCCATACTGACTCATAATTTCCTATATAGTAAGGATGATGTTTTGATCCATCTAGCTCCTTGCATCAGTGCCTGAGAATATTTTATAGCTGCCCATATTTTTGTTGTTTGAACAAACTCTAGTGGTTGACTCATAAACATGTCTAAGATTTTCGTAGAAATGTCTAAACATTCTAGCTTGACACCTTTGCAAATCAGAGATGACCTGCATATCAAAATTCCTTGAGCTAGGCATACATATGCACACATGCTGCTGCAGAAATGGAAAAAAAAAACCATATCCAAAAATAATTTTACTGATTTACCCCTGACCTTTGCTTTGACACTTATACAAGCCTTTGCCTGGGATCAATAGCTAACATATTAGCTTTGAGATACCTTCAAAACAGGATTTCAAGATCTTAATTGCCCAAGGAAATGTTCATATCAGTTGCTAGCATCCTGATCAATTTTCTTCATGGGGGTTTACAATCACCTGGGAGTTAATAATCACAAAATTATACTGGTCCTTGTTGCTGCTGGATTTTTATCACATTGCTCATTATAGAAATATGTTATTTTTGAAAGTATATTTTATAATAAGAGGTGTTGAGGCACATTTGACTCGCAGGTCACAATCTTTCATTACATTTGGCCTTTCATGATCCAGTGCTATTTATTTCTTGGGAATAAACTGGTTTAATTTGTATAAGGATGATTTTTTGGAGGATAAGAATGAAACAGAAGTTGCTATTATAGTGAGGTTCTGAATCATTTTATACTGTTGGGAATGTTTACTGTTTTGCATGGAGTTGTCACTTAAAGTGATGCTCAGTCTAAAATGGGATGGAACAATTATGTACAAGAAAGAGAAATACATGCAGTGAGGGAGCTCAGAGGGAAAGATGTGACTTGTAATTATACTCTGCAGTTAGAAGTTAAACTGTGTTAAAATGAAACCAAGGTATTTTACCTATCAAAGTCCTTCTGCTAGCAATGCTTGATCCAGTGACTAGTAAGACCTATAATTGCTCTATTGTGTTAGTGCCAAAATGGATTAAAGGAACATGAATTAGAAAGTTTCAGAATCATTCAGTCACAATAAGACTTCTCTAGAAACTTATAACAGAGCTTATATTTACTGTTAGCAGAGGATTTACTTTAAAACAAGACAGACCAGAGAACAGATGACTGCATTTCATTGCATTCACATTTGATATGGAAATGCTGCTACATTTCCAAAAAGAAATTGTTATATCATCAGCAATTCTCTGTACTGCCCAAAGGCTAGGATTTGAAATCAGGTCCCTTGGTTAATAAAAAAGAGATGAGAATAGATCATGCATAAGTTAAATTAAAATAAAAAGTAGCAGCAGACCCACAATTTCTGCAAGCTGGATTTAAAAATGCTGTATAGAAACATTCAGGGGTTTGAGGAATTAACACCTCCAATAAATAGCTTGTAGCAGAACTGGATGTTTTGCAGAGTTAGGTTTCTAATCCTTTTGTGAGTTCCTCATGGATTTGTGAAGTACCAGCCAGCAGTGTGGGACTGCTGAGGTGTCCCAGCTGTTTGCTGAGGCTTTATGTCAAAGGGTGCCACTTTGTGCTCTAGTTGAGTGAAAAAGCAGTGCCCTTTGGAGTCAGAGTGCAGCAATCTGCTGTATGACTTGTCCTTCACTTGGCAACCTGCTGTGAATTAAGTGGGTTGTGACCATCCTGATGTTAAAACTTTAGGTTCTACTCTTAACTTTTCTTCTGCCTCTTGCCCTCAGTCCTGAACAGTGGAGTTAGCATGTTGCACCCTTTCTGCTTGGTGCAGGACTGATGGAATTGCCCCAAACCTGGAGAAAATGATTTTGTTCCGTACAAAATATGTATCATTCTGCAGTGGTAATGGGCTTCTCACCTGCCAAAGGTATTCCTATTCCTTTTTTCCAGGGGTAAATTTGCATTTTATCAAGTGAGCACCAGGGTGCAGAAACACCATGGTGGAGGAGGTGTGTGGAGAAAGGCACAGGGAAACAGTGGCTCTGTTGCGGGGCTCAGGCATGGGGAAGCAGGTGGCAGGGAGGGCTAGGGCTGCTCCTTGCCATTGCTTTCCCCACGGTGCAGGAGGGGTGGTGGTGGCAGATTTAAGAGGCAACTCAAACAATTAGATTCCATATATGGGAAATTATAACAAATATATACAGTTTCCATGTATGGAATCTAATTAGTGGGGGGTTATCTTAAATCCAAAGTCATCTTGGATTTGAGTAATTACATCCTTG